CTGTGATGCCACGGCACTCTACCCAGAGGGACAGCTTGAGGCTCTGTCTCCAAAAAAAAAAAGAACTTTGCATACAGACTCGGGGATAAATCAGACATGGCTTCTGGCCTTGATGAGCTCATGATCCACTGGCACAATTAAGCAATTATAGCACAATGTAGGAAGTGCTGACAGCTTGTCTCAGACAGCATGAAGGGAACCCAGAGACAGGGCACATAATTAAGCGAAGGTTGAGGGTGGGAAGAAGTCAGAAGAGATTCCTGGAAGAGTTGTTGCCTAATTTTAAGTTTTTTAACTTCTCGGTGTCTCCCTTGCTTCGTCTGTAAAATGGAAATGCTAATAGAAGCAACAGTGTTGTGAGAATTAAACAAGAAACCATATAGAAAAGGCACACAGCAGTACAGTGCCTGATACAGTGTGGAATATGTTGAGTACTAGCTGTCATTGTTGTCATGATCCCCATTAGCAGTTCATGAGGAAGGTGGATGGAATCTCAGGCAGTAGTGAGACAAGAAGTCTAGCGTTGTGGAATGAAAAGTGAAAGGAGAGAGTAGAAAGGCAAAGTGGAGAGAAAGGCAGTGGGGGGATGGGGTCAGACCAGTCAAGGAATCTGGACATCATCCAAAATGGGAAGCCACTGGAGAGGGTATAGGTTGATAAATGTCTTTAATGGTTTCATTAGGATTGGAAGATGCCTTCCCTAGTCAAAGGCAAGCCTAAAAGTGGTGGGCCCTGTAAAAATGTCTTTGCAATAATCCAGGCAAAGCTGCTGAGGGCTCGAACTGGAGCAGCAGTAACAAGAATAGAGAGGGGTTGGATTAAAAAATATATATATTTGGTAAGTAAAATTGGTAGGACTTGATAAATGGACGTATTGTGGAAGGAGCATGGGTCAGGAATGAAGCCCAGGATTCTAGCGTGGGTGCCTGAGCGGATAAAGGCAGCCTGGTTCTGTATTAACTCTGTCTTTTATTTCCTGTATTTTGATACTGACATCTGGGGCCTTGCTGACCCTGGAAAGACCGCTCCTCCCAGAGCTAGCCAATTTATAGGTTTAGCAGACAGCTCTTCCTTAAACCCACTTGTCAAATTCAAATCGAATCCTAGTCCTACCGCTTCTCGCGGGTGATTTAGAACAGGTCTCTCCCCTTCGGAAGCGCTTTGATCTGGGAAACCGTATTCCAGCTGTCTACCTTAAATAGCTGTTCTCTGGCGTAACAGCGTTTTCAAACTTGATTATAAAGATGAAGCTACCCCCTACTCATCCCTAACTCTACAGTTCCTTCCATAGACTCCCACTTTAGTTTTCTTCCCCCTTCTCCAATATGCAGGAAGCTGCCCCGGCCACACAGGAGGATCAGAGTTCTAATTCTGTCTTTGCCATTTAGCTGAATTACCCAGGGATCTCCCTCGGGCTCAGTTTCCTCTTTGGCATATGGGGGATAAACACAAGACGGGGGTGTAGTGTGAAAGGGCTCTATGAACCATAAGGCACAATAACTATTAGCTATATAGAGCGAGGACACCTGACTCGCTGAAGCAACCCACGCAACACCACTCAGACCTGCGCTAAGGAGACTCTCTCCGCCGGGCACAGAACCCTCCCTCCCGGGTTCCCGCGCGCGCAAGAAAGGACTAGTCCGCGCGACTGGATTGGGCAGCTCGGCGCAGGGCGGGGCTCAGAGTAGGCGGGTCTTCCGGCCTCCTCCGCTGTTGCCAAGGGAGACAGCCGCAGAGAGGCGGAAGAAGCTGTGGACAAGCGGCCGGAGCCGAAGAGGCGCGCAGTAACGATGGCGGCAGTGGCGGCCTCGGGGCCTGGGTTTCGGGGCTGGTGCTTGTGTCCCGAGGTACCTTCCGCCACCTTCTTCATTGCGCTGCTCTCGTTGCTGGTGTCCGGGCCCCGCCTGTTCCTGCTGCAGCCACCCCTGGCGCCCTCTGGCCTCTCGCTGAAGTCCGAGGCCCTGCGCAACTGGCAAGGTGAGCAGGGGCGGGGCCGGGACCGCGGGGCGAACCTCCTTGGACCTCGCAGGGCATCAGCCTCACCGCCTGTGTGCGGCTGTCTGCGGCCGCGTCACGGTTCTTACCAGCCGGAGCATCAATTTCCAGCACCGTCTCCTGATCCCATATCCCGCGTCTTTGTCTCTGCAGAGCCGCGTCTTCACTGTACTCTATTCCCTACCCAAATTTATTCCCTTCCCTGTTGCTACCAAACTGCTTAAAGCCCCAAATCCATTCGGTAGCAAACTTTAGCTTACTCACCGGGAACAAGGATTTTCCCTTTACCCCTCTCATTTCATATACCCACCTACGTATGTTTTAGGCCTAAGCTCCACTGAAAAATATTTTTTCTCACCTTCATTACCATAATCGAGCTTTGACTGCTCCCCTATAATCCCAGTAAATGTCCTGCCCTCTCGAAATTTGGAATTTTTTCTGCTACTTCGTTTGTGTCTTAATCCTGACTCCATTGTCGGCTCATAGGGGGAGGGGCTTTCGCCTCTGGTGAGGTGTTTGTTTTCTCTAGGGAAGAGAAATTTTGCAGACCAATTATCAACATCCACTGGTAAGAGACATTCCTAGTCTCCCGTTCTTCCTCATTTTCTGGGAATATAGGAAATGGACTATAGTTCTTAATGTTTTATGAAAGACACATGCATTAATCTTAATTTAACCCTCGCAGTGATGCCCTGATGTAGGCTTTATTTCTGCCCATTAGTCAGATGAGAGTGAGGCTTAATGCAGAGAATCTCATAGCTATTAAGTCACACAATTGAGACAAGAACTATCTCAAAACACGGTTTTCTTTTATCCTTGTATTACTTTATTTTTATTTCTTTGTATTTTTCTTCCTAACCATCAAAGACAGATTTTTCTTTTCTTTCTTTCTTTCTTTTTTCTTTTTTTTTTTTTTAGAGACAGTCTCTCACTTAGTAGCCCTCTGTAGAGTGTTGTAGTGTCATAGCTCACAGCAGCCTCCAGTTCTTGGGCTTACACGATTTTCTTGCCTCAGCCTCCCAAGTAACTGGGACTACAGGTGCCTGCCACAACGCCTGGCTATTTTTTTGTTGTACTTTGACTGGGGCTGGGTTGAAACCTGCCACCCTCGGTATATGGGGCCCCTACTTATTGAGCCACAGGTGCCACCGAGATTTTTCTTTTTATTATGTGCTGTTTTGGACTGGAACCTTGGGGGATATAATCTCCAAATGACATAGTGTTGCTTCTGGAATCTTTTCACGTTTATACTTGGAATTTCAGTTTTAGAAGTACTCAACAATAATGAAGTATTCTTCAAATAATGAAACTTTCTGGAGATGGCCTGACTGAGGTATATAGTTCCATAGCCCGCTTTCTGCTCAAATGCCAGCTCAAAAGCAAAATGCCAGCCTAACTTCAACCTCCTTTTTTCCTTTAGTTCACATCTTCTCTGGGTGTGGGTTTTATGGACATGTAGGCATTAGTTATATACATCAAGGTATCAAGGACCTTTGAAGGCATCAAGCCTTACCTTGTTACCTTAAAATGAAGAAACTGAAACAGAGAGGGCCTGTGACTTGACTAAGCTCAGCCAACCTGGATGTGGTAAAACCAAGGTCCACTCTAAGTCTTACACTCCCAATTCTAGTGTTATCTGTTACTGTCAATTCATTGGTCTCCCTCCTTTAGTTTAGTGTTTTGGCCTGCAGGAACGTTAAGTATATAAGATAGATGATTTTTTATTTATTTTTAATTTTTTTTGAGACAGTCTTACTATGTTGCCCTTGGTAGAGTGCCATGGTGTCACAGCTCACAGCAACCTCAAACTCTTGGGCTTAAGCAATTC